CAGTTTCCGTATCCAGTATCCAGTGCCTTTCGGCTTGAATGAGCTGGAAAAAGGGAAGAAGCACGTCTGACCCAAATCAATTTTTGAGCAATACTTTACCGTACAGTATTACAGTAGTTTTTTGGTTGTTTTTCCGAAGTTTGGAATTTGCACGTTCTCACGCGGAAGCCTCATACCGTACGGTATGGTACGATACGTATCGTWGCGAAGTCATCTTGTTCAGATGGAACCGTCTACGCTACTTCACCATCCCTAAAATGTATCAATCCTAGCGGTACAGCTACTGTGTTCGAAAAGGCCATCCACATTGTTCGCCATACTACTCCACGCTCGGAAACATTCACGAATTTGTCACAACAAACTACTGCTTCAGTTGCTGGCGAGACCATTTACCGAATAGGAAGACTTCAAGCCCCGTCATACCGATTACAAGGTGCAAGAATGGCGTCCACAACAATCGCGAACGGACTCAAATCCACCGGCAACGTTCTGATCAATAAGTTGAGCTTGCCAGGCGTCACTAGCTCCACCCAAAATATATATGCTCCGACAGGAAAATGGATGCTAGGGACAGCCTGCTCTGTGGTTGGCATGATTCACGTTGGAGGCGTCACACGGTTGACACAATCGGGATTGAGCATGACGACCTGGAGTCCKCTAGGTACCCTGCCCCCAATTACAAAAGAAGAGTGGGAAATTGAGTTTGAGCGCTACAAAACCTTCCCGGAATTTCAGCAACGTAAAAGTATGGAATTGTCAGAATTCAAGTTCATTTAYGGATGGGAATATGGGCATCGAATGCTAGGGAGAGCGGTAGGATTGGCATTCGTTTTACCATGGGCTTACTTTAGCGCGAAGAAACTGATACCAAAGGGGTATCAAAAACGAATGCTTGGATTGCTTGCGATGGGAGGTACCCAAGGGCTGGTTGGATGGTGGATGGTRAAATCTGGTTTAGGAARCGATAGGTTTGGTGACAAAAAAGAGATCCGCGTTCGTCCAATTCGTTTGACAGCGCACCTGACGATGGCGGTCGCTACTTATGGAGCACTCCTATGGACTGGGTTGGATATTCTAGGGCTTCCCCACCAAAAGACTTTGGCAGAGCAAGCATCGAAATTCTTYAATAAGGGAACGCTCCATCGGGCATTGCGTTTGAGGTCAGGAAGTATCTTTGTGACGTCGTTGACTGGCCTTACCATTGTAAGTGGTGCATTGGTTGCAGGAAATGATGCCGGGCGGGCKTACAACACATTTCCAAAGATGGATGGAGAATGGATCCCGTCAGAGATAGCGGACTTGACTCCTTGGCATCGAAACCTGAAGGAAAACACGGCGACCGTTCAATTTAACCATCGTGTTCTTGGCRTGTCAACCGCTATTGCAGCCGTTGGACTTACGGGTTTGGGCTTGGCATTGCCATTCAAAGGAAAATCAGGTGTCTTGTTTACACCCCAGGTCCGCATGGGTTTGTATGCTATTGGGTCGAGTTCTGTCGCACAGATGTTGCTTGGTATCACAACACTTCTTCAATATGTTCCCCTGTCACTTGCAGCTGCTCATCAGGTGGGAAGCATTGTAGTCTTTTCAAGCGGAATTTATTTGACGCATTCGCTACGGTATGTGAGACCAGCTCTGACTAGGTTGAACCGCGATGCAATAGCTAACACGAATGTGAAGAATGCGTTGTCGAGGAAGATTAAGTAGATACATTATTTTAGCATGAAACTTGGGCTGAGATCAGTACTGAAGGTATGCCGATGAGAATGATCTCCAAGACGTTATTGTCGACCCTTACTGTAACATTGTAAAGAATTCATAAATGCTAATTAATCATCTTTATCATAAACCCTGACCACAAAGCAAGGGCCCATGAAGATCATAGTGAATTCAACTTAAAGTTCTAAGTTGGTCACAGGTACATTGGTGACTCTATTGACACCTTTGAGTCACACATTGCCTGGGTTAATCCCTGAATCTAGCAATGTGTGGAGGGTATTAAGCTCCCTACTGGGTTGTCTTACTGCTGATCACCAAATCTCTCCAACAGACTGAGTGAGCCCATCTTCAGAGCATTTCTCCATGCGTGGATGATGCCTAGACTACAACATCATAATRTATTACCAGACAATAGCATGGCCATAGTGTGGTGCTTTTTGGAATTTTAACAACTGGGCCCTTTTCAAGAATCCATGAGTCCACAGCACCCCAGAACAACTTCCAAATTGTAGAGGGACAGATACAATTTTTCATAACTCATGTTGCCACACAGCAATTTACTTATTTGTAGCTTGTGTTGCAAAATGTTGCTACCCTCACATACATCTCCATTGAAAATGAAGAAAATATTAACTTTCTTGCAAGTAGGAATTGTGCTTGAGTCYACAGGTGCAAGAAGAGTGAAGGTGAGAGTTAACTCCTGAAGAACTGAGAAAAATTTATTTGGAGCTTTCAGCAGGTGAGTTATGAAAAGTTAAAAATGTGGGGGGGCCTTGTGTGACCATCCCTAGTACTGCTGTAAGTAGGGTCCTGAGGGTCCTGGAAAAAGTTTTTTGAATGAAATGGATAATTCCCATTATTATAGAATTGCTAAATGTGCTAGACTAGCACATGTCTTAGCATTTCTATAATGACAGGAATAAATATTTCAACTGACAGACTGTCAGGAATGTGGGCTTGATAACAGTCTTTTTGGGAATTTGGAACTGCAACTCTTATTTCAACATGATATATGACTAGTAAAAAGAGAACATAATGCACTCTGGTACAAAGAGCCAAGTACCAAAAAAATAAAAATCCCATGATACTACTGTCCTTTGTGGGTTCCTTCATAGATTTAGCTTATTTGCTACTAAATCTATCCCTGTTTATAATTTTTTGTCTGTCAGTCTATCAAATTTAGCAATTCTATGTGCGATTCCCATTATTATAGAATGCCAAACCACTAGATTTAGTATTTATAAAAATTTATCATAAAGGGAATCAAAATTTCAACRGACAGACTGAGAGGAATGCTGGCTCAATGGCAGTTGTTTTTGGAATCTGGAATCTTAACTATACTTCAATGCAAAGACTGCTAAGACTTAAAAGAGGCTGGCGCACATCTCTGGTACTAACAAAACCATGAAATTTTGAACATAGTGAAATGAACATACACATCACCTATTTTCATAATTTTGTATCAAAAATATTCATGTTCCTTGCACAAGTTGCTATTAAATGCACTAACAGACTAAGGTTTCCTCCTAGTAGCAAGAAAGAAGGCTACTTCAACAATGATGGGAGTGATGGGGGTCATCATGATGTACTGGTACATCCAGTTGAATGACAAGCAGGAGCAAGAAGCCCAAAGTTATAAAAACAAACTTATTCCAGAAGAGAGACGCAGGAAGGACAGGAGAACTCCCTGGCTTGCAATCCAGAGATATGCAGATTCTCCCTTCCTCCATATGTTCCACTCTGGGCTTGATCAAGCACTCTCAACTGCTGTGGTGTGGAGTACAAGGTCTTCAGGGAGCTGTTTGATGTGTTTGCTCCTGTTTACAACAAGTATACTGTGGATAACAATTACAACATAGTCAAAGTTGCTTGTTACCCCAGTAGAAAGCCCAAAGGGAAGAAGAGGGAGGTCAGTGCAGTCTGTGCTATTGGACTGGTCCTCTATTGGTATGGGACAAGAGGATCTGTTACAGGGTCAATGACCATGGCCTTTGGCTAGACAAAAACAGTGACRTACAAGTGGCTCAAGTTTTCAAGGAGAGTGATGCTTGTTGCTCTTCACAAACACCCAAATACCATGGTCAGTGTACCAGACAAGAAAGAAGTGGATGCTTACATTAAAGCTATTGGGAACAAGTATCCACGCCTTGGAGAACATTTCATTTGGGCTGCAGCTGATGGTCTCAAGCAAGTCATGAAGAGACTGGTATAAACAAAGACCATTCTACAATGCATGGAAGGAGAACACATATCGTAGGCTCAGCCAGCAAATCTACAATCCAGCTGAAGATTACAGCCCCTTACGTTGCATGTATTGAATACTTTGACTAAAGAACTGGTGCTGAATTTTTGAATCCCACAGCACTGYGTACGACCAAATAGTTTTGCATGGTTCAGTCTTGCAACCAAATAGTTTCACTTGCACGTGCTCTTGCTGTACCAGTAGTACAACTCAAATATTTCATCTCATGAGTCATTAGTACACAGTGAAAAGATGGTCCAAAATCCACACATAGTATCATATAGAGTTGCGAACCAATGCAAGAACCAGTTGTATATTTTGGGCCCTTATTTTTGTGTGTGATGATTACTTTGACTAAATTAATGCATACAAAATGCATGTGCTCAATGCACAGTACTTGTACTGGGAGCTTTTAATTGTATGGGTGAGTTGGGGGGTCATAGTAGTGGAATATATTRATATTTGTGTACAAACATAGGATTGAAAATGTACACATGATACAGTCAGAAACTCTCYGCCCACTCTATACAGATACTTTAACTGTATAACTGTTTTAGTCTTMAACTGAGTATTTGAGCTGTGTCTTGGTCCCCAATGGATGCTAAACAATGATAAGCATATGAATTGAAAGGAAATTTAAACATAAATATTGTCATGTGGGGGGTTATAGGTCTATAGGGTTGTATATACACAATTGCTAATGTATGACTGCATCATACATTGTTTTAGAAGCTCAGCCTATAGAATATCAGTAGTGTGTTTGTCTTTACCCAGATGACAGAATCAGAATWGCAGTGTACAACTGCCCAGGGGCCTGGCATGACAGTGCTGTTGCTGACCAGCACAGTGTCTATCAGAGGATTGGGGATGTCCATGACCAGTCCAATGCAAAGGTKATGGTGGATTCAGCCTCTGCCCTGAAAGATAAGGAGCATATCCTCATCAAGAGCTCACAAAGGGATCCGGAACAGGCAGAGGGGATACTTCTCAACAGGGATGTCACATCCTTGAGACAGATGTTGGAATGGGGGATGCTGATGATTCAAGGACAGTTTCCAAGAATTAACCTTGGTGAAAGAAGGATCACCATGAACCTCCTCATCAACTTTTACAACTTCCAGTGCAGTACCATATGACACAACCAGATCCCCTTGCAGGAGGCTACTTCTTCTATGTAGGAAGAACGCTCTCTCCTGATGGAAATGAGGTGTTCTGTAGGTGAATCCCATGGTCAAATAGTTGCTGTGGTTGCTTTGGTTGTATCAAAAGATGTTTGGTCATCAATTAGAAATGCTCCATATGGCAAACCACAAAAAAAACTTAATATTATATTTAACCTTGTGAGCTAGAAGAGGCACTATGTGGCCAGAACCATAGCTTTTGGTGGAAAGAATGCTTCTATCTGCTCCAAGGGGCGGCACTTCCCTCCAAGAAGGAGTTTTGGTGGAAGTGCAACCAAGGGTTGGTTTTGCTGGATTTAAAAGAATTGATTGAGCTTGGTTTGGAGTAAACTGGAAGAAGGAACTTGAGGAGCCAAAGAAGTATCTGGCACAACAGGTTGTTTRTGTTGCTTCTTTTTCCAGTAGGYRTCAAAGACCRGCAAATCTTGTGTGACACTCTCCAGTGGWTGTTTACTATGGGGCATTGGCRTAAAGTACTGGGTAATAGGGCAAGTGTTGGAGACCAAAGCACTTGASRCTTGGTTGACACTTGCCAGAATTGTTTTCTCATAGTAATATGTGAGCATGGAGGCAGGTGTAATCCATAAGAAGGTTTGGGGTTGGGGTTAGGGTTGATAGGAGGTAAGRAAGAATTCCACAAGATAGCCCCCCAATATGAGTGGGGAGTAARAGCTGGAATGAAGATCAAGATCAGTAAACCACTGGACGAGCAAAATGTGACTGGCAAACACGTGGTGCCAACCAATCTCACTCTGGAAATGAATAACTGGATGAAGGGATGTAGGATATTTCTCTGGAGAAACTGTGCCAGTGTTGAGCCATTTGGTAAGACATGTAGGAAGAGTGTCGATGGCAATTAGCCAGAAGCCAAGTGTGGACATCCGTTGTCGTAGAGAGGTAATAGTCTGTCATCGCCATCTGAGTTGTGATAGGTGAGAACATCTAAAGAGATGCTCAGAATCTTCAGGCATCTGGCAAAGACAACAAGTATCATGTTGTTGGTAGTTCCACCTTTTGAGAACAGTGGCAATGGGCAGGATGTGGTTGCAACATTTAGTGACCAAGACGTTCCTGGAGAYGCAATTGATGATAGCAATGCTCAGGGACTTCCAGGCAATATYRGCAAGCACTCGTGGGGACCACTGGTTCCTCTCTGTCAAGTATGTGTGATATTGGGGGATCAAACAAGAATCCGTGAGAGCTCTCTTATATTGGCTGGYGATGGAGCGAGATTGGATCTGAAGAAYGGCTGGAMATGAAGGTAAAAAAGGGGTGATGAAGTTTGRCGTAGTCATCTGAGCTTGAAAGGCACCAGCATAACTGTCAGCTTTGACATTCAGTTGGACTGTCAGAGGAAGTCAATCAAAAGCAATGGTGTCATCTTGGTGACCTTTCACCCAAGAGAAAGAGCAGGTGATGGTTGGAGACTGGATGGTTTGAAAGATCTGTTCAATCAAATCAAAGTCTGGTGCCAGAGTAGCATTGGCATAGACCTCTRTGTATTCACATCTGGATTGGAGTCTAGTGATTAGTGCCTTGCTGTCACTGATAAAAGTAACCTGTGTTGGACAAGTTGGTGAGGTGCCAGAAGACAAAGATGAACTGGAGATACTTGTATCAGAAGACAACAAAGATRAATGATAGGGATGATGGTGCTGAAGATGCACATCATTCAGCTTGCTGATAAAAATTTGGAAATTTCCCCTTTCATTCTCAGATAGGGAATGAAATTGGAAATTTCCAATTTTTCTCTGAATTTGAGTGGGCAGTGCTGGGGATAGGCAGGGGGAAGCTGGATGTGTTTCTGCATGATATGCATCAGAAAATAACTTGGTTGTATTGGACAATTTTTTTCTAAGGCRGTTAATGAGCTTGCATTGTCAGTACTGGTCCGGTGGGTASGGGAGTGTCCATCAGAAAATAACTTGGCCATTTTGGGCAAGTTATTTTCTGAGGTGTTCATATGTGCACRGGTCCCAGTACTGGGCCCTGTAGGAAAAGCTGTAGAAGTTTTTGGATCTGTAAATTTCTGAGAAGTTGTACATACTGCTGTGGTACTGGGTTTGTGGTGCCGTTGGTGAAGKTGTGAAATGAGCAGAATGACAAAGAGGCCAGCYGAYAACAAGCCAGTGAAGGCAAACCACAAAACAAATGGCTATGGCAATAGCAATTGCAAYRCAAGTTGCTACAGMWATTGATGTCGGCACAGACTGAAGCTGCYAGTACTACTGCAACCAACAGCTGTATMATCCAATGACTTCACAACTAATATMAAAAAATGTTAGTAACAGCMGTTACAAGAGCTTCCTTCCACCAGAACTCACAACTTTCTTTGGTGTCTCTTTGTTGCTGGATCCTAATGTRCTCATTGAAGGCAGCTGCATCTGGAACAGTGGATTTCTTCTGCTGATATAATCTCTTCTTGGGAGTAGGTGTGGCAGCCATACTACAGATGATGGGCCTCCATCAGCAACAAYAGAAGTCAATGCTGTGCCACAAGCAAGGATAGTAGCTGCAGTGGATGCTCCCCCTCAAGCACCACCAGCAAAGATTAACGCTCCTCCAGCAGCAGCAGCAGTTGATGCTCCTTGACCAGCAACAATCAATGCTCCTCCTACAGTCCGTGCTTCAGGTGAGGTGTCCTCTCCTGCTGGTGAAACCACTCCAGCCTCACTCTTAATGAATCCTTTCTTCACATCAAAGCCCTCCTCTCCAGTACCAATATTTGCCTTCTTGCCAATCAAGATATGGCCCTGTCAGGCCATCTTCACATACTCTGGCATCTGTGGATTTGCTGTTGAGCTCTTGATGCATTTGGAAGCTCCATAGTACTTAGTCTTGATGGAGGTCTTGCTTCTAGAGTAAGTCCAACTTTGTGAACGCTTGTTTGCAACAAGCAGATCCCAACCATCAGCATCAATGGGGAGCATATCCAAGAAGATCAAACCCACGAGACTTCTTTGTGAGCTCATCCTCCAAGTAGTTTCTATTACCAGCCTTGCAAATGCCATTGCCTCCTTTGGCACCAGTTTGATCCATCTGAACAAGGGGATCAGGCAATCAATTGCCTCTTTGTAGTCACCAGCCTCCTCCTCCTCCTGCTGGTGCTGCTCTCTTTGGTGAAACAAAGAAAGAGAGAGCACTAATTAGAACACAGTTTATGTGGGCGCCATTCTTGACAGAGGTGCCTCTCTTTATTCTTGTTTAGGATAGCAGAGTCTCCTTAATTTTATCAAATAGTCTTCAGATTCTGGGGCACTTTCTGTTGAGGAATCTTAGTACTAAAACGGACTCAAAATTTTGATTTTTGGGTTCCGTAATGGATCTAGCATATTTTAAATGGGGTTCTTTGACTCATTCAAAAAATGCTAAATTTTTGTTATAGAATGCTAATTTTTTGGTCTGTCTGTCTATCAAATTTAGAATTACTATATAATAGTGGGAATCACCGTATTACTAACAGGAAGCAATCACCCAATAAATTGATAACAATTTTGTACTAGAACATAGGCACATTGCAGAAAGTATTTGTACGCATGTTGCACAGCTGTTCAAGAATAGTAGGACAGTTTACGGCCAATTTGCCTTTAAGAGTTCAGGGTATCACAAAAATAGAGTCATTCAAAAAAATCTAACTTGTCAAAAACTTATTCTAATCAGTCAAAAATGTATTCTAACTAGTCAAAAATTTATTCTAGTAGTTAGTAGTCAAAAAGTATTCTAAGGAAGAAAAACAAAATCTGCTTTTTCTCCTCTCCTGGATGAAAATCTACCTACCAGTATGACCAAATCAAACCAGTCAATCATGAAATTAGCCAATCACATTGCTTGATTCTTACCAAATATTGGTATTCTTGTCCCTAACTTAGATTAACCCTAAACTTGTCATTAAAAAAATCTCCAAAAGATGGGTTTTGAACAGCTGTGATTGTGGTTGTAAGCACCTCATCATACTAATGGGCCATTCCCGATAACATTGAAACATGTCTTTTTTGACAGGCCTGCTCAATTTATGCATCTCAAATACTCAGACACTGGTTGTAGTGGGCCCACAASAACCAAGATCTGTGTATTTTACATAAAACTTTATTGGAATCCTTAACTAGTGAAAAATCAGTCTCCTGAGCAGGCGGGCCTTCAAAGACAGTCACTGGGCRCATGCACCCTAAATTAGTATTACTRTATGTGCCTTAAATTAGTATATGGGATTCCAAATTACCAAAATGGGGRRAAAATATGTACTGTCAGCAGCAAGCCTGCAGAGTTTTCAATACCACTGAAAATGATTCCAGAATGCATATGATATCTTATTGGGAATGACCCAATGTCCTACTGGTATGGTAAAACAGCCGGCCAGTRCAGGGCCCTCCATTAGTTTTTAAGGAAGACAGTCACCAACCAAGATCAGGGTTTCCCATAGGTTTTTTCATGTTTAAACAAAGAGAAACAAAGAGAGAATTTCCCAGGCAATATTATCTTTGTTTCTCTTTGTTAAAAATCAACAAATCAAAGAGAAACAAGGAGAAGCAATATTCTTTTTGTTTCTCTTTGTATAAACATGAAGAAACAAAGATAGTAAGAATATTGCCCGGGGAATATTCTCTTTGTTTCTCCTTGTATGAATGGGAATTGCTCCCATAATTTCACTATGTAAAAATACAGAGAATAGTGCCCAGGTTAAATTCACTCTGCTTAAACAAAGAGAAACAATGAGAAAATAGCCCAGGMAATATTCTTGTTGTTTCTCCTTATTTAAACAATGTGAAACAAAGAGAAACAAGGAGAGGCAATGTTCTCTTAGTTTGTTCTCTTTGTTACAACAACGAGAAACAATGAGAATATTGCCCTTTTAAACAAAGAGAAGTATTCTCTTTGTTTCCCCTTGTTTCGTGGGGTGTACAGGAAACTATTTAATTTTAAAAAAATTCTAACTGAGGGCCCTGACAGATACTCAGGTATTTTTGAATAACTTAGGGTTAGGGTCTTTAGTCGCTTTGATATCATGAGAACGCGTACGTACTTACGTGTACGTGTTCCGTTGCCAAAAGAAATATTTTCCACTTTTTTCTTTCTTGGACTTCAGCTCTAGTTCTCAGTTCATACAATACTACTCGTACGTAAGGTACGCACCSTACGGCAGGCTACGAACGAATGTCTCGTAGCACAATAAATACAAGGCTGCCATGAGATCTTGTAGTCTACGGTACATAATGTACGAGTTTTAACTTATGGTACTGTACCTCCGCACCAGGTTCCTTGTACGATTAGSTTTCAATAATTGTGACACATCACGTTGCTACATGTGCGCATCGACATATTGAATCTGACTTAGAAAATCTGTCGTGGAGCAACTGCTGTCACCTCGATTCTATCGTACGGTACGGTAGCCTAAATTTGAGATTGGATGATGATGATGATGATGCTRTTTTGGTTCAGCCRATGTCAGTTRATACTACATCCTGAGAACTGTGTGTCTCGACTGATYGTGCAGCATTACATTATTCATAATYGTTAACAAGAATATTAASTAAACAGAATCATCATGCTCTTCAGAACGACAGCTGTCTTTGCCTTTCTCTTAGGAGCTGCTTCGGCTTTTATGCCATCGACCGATATCCACGGATTCTCCTCAACTAARTTAAACCTTCAGATCGAGGACAACGGAATCAACACCAGTACGGATGATAGGCGAAGCTTTGTAACCAAGGTGAGCGTAGTCGAAGTGTTTTTGTGACCTTTCTGAYGGACAAGATGAGTGCATATCATGAACAACTCTGTGCTGAAAAAGACTTTTTGAAACCTTAACTTAAAAWACCTAYACAGAGTGGATCTACAGTTGCTGCTGCTGCATTCGCCTCGGCGACGGGGACTCTCGGTGTGCCTACAGAACCCGCAAAAGCCGCCTCTTCACAAATGTGGAAACCAGTTGCTCTACCATTTTCGGAGACATTGTACGATATTGATTTTGACACGTAAGTATCCATTTCGCCTTATACATAGCGATCAGAAGCGATTTTCTCGGATTCTTAAATCCGATTATTCCACTCCATCTCAATAGCACTTTGATTTTACGATTCATGAAAAAACAGTCCAACACATGGATACTTAGTTGGAGCACGTGGGTCGTTTGCGGAAACTAACGATGGAGGAGAAACGTGGGAAGCTCGTTCTTTCTCGAACTTGGATGCAGAGGAAGAAGTAACCTACAGATTCACAGTATCGTCCTTTACCGATGGAGAGGGATGGGTGTTGGGAAAACCTACACTTATGCTTCACACCAAGGACGCTGGTAAGACATGGGAACGTATTCCTCTCTCACCGAAGCTTCCTGGTGAGCCAACATCGATCACATCATTGGGACCTGGTAAAGCTGAAATGACAACATCAGTCGGTGCTGTATATGTGACAGAAAATGCAGGAAGAAACTGGAAGGCGCAAGTGAAGGAAACAATCGATGCTACATTGAATCGTATTTCCAGCAGTGGTGTCAGTGGAGCCTCCTACTTCACAGGTAGCATTATTTCTCAAATTCGTGATGACGATGGCGCATATCTGGCCGTATCTAGCCGTGGAAACTTTTTCCTCACATGGGAACCCGGTAACGATTTCTGGATTCCGCACAACAGAGGAACTCCGAGACGCATYCAGAATATGGGGTTTGTTGAGGGTGACATCAATAAGGGTGTATGGATGACATTGAACGGAGGCAAGCTTCTGATCTGCAATTCAGAACCTGACCTCAAGTCCGATACCTTCGATTTTAAGGAGGCAAATATCAAGACTGGTGGATTTGGAATTACAGACGTTGCGTGGAGAAACAAGAAGGAAGTCTGGGCTGTGGGTGGATCCAACACGATGTATGTCAGTACTGATGGTGGAGAGAACTTCAGTTTTGACAAGAGTGCTAACAACATCCCAGGGAACCTTTACAACGTCAAATTTTTCAAGGAATTTGGTAACAAGGGATTTGCGCTAGGTAGCAACGGTCTGCTATTGAAATATGTTGGTTAATTTTTGTACCCAGACGTTGCGAAGCAAATAACGCATTCGCATTGATCAGATGCCAAGTCCTTCTTTCGAATCTTTTGAGGGAATTATTCTCTGAAAGCATGATGTATCGAATTTCAAATTTTCTCTGATATTTTGGTGTCTATTATTAATATTGAGACACTCATGTCCATGAGTATTASTACTGCAATCTTCTGGACGAGGAATCCCGAAAACTATACAATGATTCTAGTACTAGTAATATGTTAGAACATAAACAAATGAATTTTGCCAGTATTAGAGGGTATTTTGTTTGTTGCACCAGATATATACCATGAGGCCATCGACATATTGATGAGTCACCTTGTCTTATGTTGCTGTTYATTTCAGTGAACTCTTTACTTTCAAAATCAGGACTTGATTGATGAAGGTCATCACTGAAATCTGTTGACACCACCAGTTATCAGATGTGTACAGGAGATTTGCTTTAGTGCTTRCTTCCTWTGTCCCTGAATGATTGTACCTGAACACCTTTACTACTGAAATRAGCTCAATATTTGGGCAATYAGATTACTTCTTTTTGTACTTAAAAGAACTTTTATAGTAGTATACAGTCATGAAGGTTGTTATAAGTCAAAGAGTCTGATGTRCTTGCAATAGCTACTTAAAAGGACCCCATTTTAGCATATGATTTTCAGTTTACTGGTTGAAAGGGTTCTACCTGTCATTTAAAGACCGGACTTGGAGTAATAGTAAGCTAGTCTTGTGTATTCTATCAATCAATAATAAGTGTTTGGCATATGAGGGTTCTTATGCAGTCTTAGTCAGTCACTAGAGGAAGCAAAAAACATCTCTGGGTGCATGCAGTTTTCATCTGTTTTTTTTTGGTGCTGGAGAGAGCGCTGAGAGGAAAAAATTGAGAAGAAATTGTGCATCGCGCACAGTACAAATATGTCCTCCGTGTTATTTTCACAGAATGTAATTTTCACTCTTGATTTCATCACACCTCCTGATTCACTCTTCAATCATTGTTTCTTTCCACTTTCTTTCCTTTCAACTGACTAAGACTGGATTMTTTGCTCTTTGCACCTCAAGTGACTCAGTGGTTGCCTCGCGCCCACTACGAGGGGATTCCATGTCTCCATTGTCTCCACGGGGAATGCATCTCTGTTRAGCCAAAGCACCTCCGAATGACTCGTGTTGTCTCCATTGCTTCCACTAAGAGGGGGGGAAGCAAAGGACTGAGTCACCTTGTGTCTCCATAGCTTCCACCACTAGGAGGTGCAGGGGGGGAGTGTGTCTCYGTTGAGCCACGCTTCCAAAGATGGTTAGCGATACTGCAAGCAATACTGCAAGTAATGCCACTGCAAGTGATGTTACTGCAAGCAACAATACTGCAAGCGACAATACTGCAAGTGACGATACTGCAAGYGACAATACTGCAAGCAACAATACTRCAAGCAAGACTGCAAGTGATACTGCAAGCGATACTACAAGCGATACTAGTGACACTAGTAGTAGTCCACAAAAGAAGTTGAAGCTCTTGTCTAACAATGAAAGAAGTGSWGTTGTTCACTTCCTTCTCCAAAACTTGAGAAGCAGTCATGGAGAAAACAAAGKTCTTGCTAGGGGATCCCAGAAGGATGCTACAGTAGTGTTAAAAACCTCACCTAAAACTATCTCAAGGATTTGGAAACRATACAGGGAAACTTGTGATCCAATCAATTGCCCTGCRGGGAATGTCTCCAACAGAAGAAAAAGATGTGGTTGCAAACCAAGGCCTCTAGAAGATCTAGATGCACTCCARGTTGTTCCAATGAAAGACCGTGGTGATCTACAAACTTTTTCCGCTGCAACTGGGATTCCTAAGTCGTGTTTGCACCGCCTTGTTAGACGTGGGAGTATTAAAAAGCACAACGGGACCACCAAGCCCTTGTTGACACCTAAGAATAAACTGGAGCAAGTTAATGGATCCTGAAACACATTGATAACAACAGCAGGTTTGACAACTGGTTCAAGTGGATTCATATTGATGAGAAATGGTTTTATCTTAAGCGCACAAAGCAGACAACTTATCTCCTACCAGATGAGTCAAAGAACCATATGACGAAGGTAATGTTTTTGTGTGCAACGGCCTGTCCACGTTGGGATACAAACAGGCATGCTTGGTTTGCTTAGTTTGATGGTAAGATTGGTATTTGGCCCGCCTTTGTTGTAAAAGAACCAGCCAAAAGATCCTCTGTGAATTGCTCAAAAGGAACCCTGATTACCAAGCCACAGAACGTTGATGGAGAGGTGTACAAACAGATGTTGCTTGACAACAAGGTACTGCCTACAATCTACAAGAAGTGGCCTAGGGGATCCAGTCCAAGAAGCGCTCAAAGGATATTGATCATTTGATCGCCAATGTGGAGGAAGCGTTTGATGAGTGCAAGCTTGAAATGTTGAATAATGTGTTTTTGTCCCTTCAGGCTTGTATGGAAGCATCTCTTGGTGTAGACAGTGATAACAACTACAGGCTCCCGCACATGGGCAAAGCAAGGCTAATGAGAGAAGGTACTCTTCCAATTTTGATCATTTGCGATACAGATTGCATCWATGCAGGCCATGCATTACTGGCACAAGCTGAAGCGGAAGCCAACACTGCATGAGAAAGAGTAGTCCAGTAGTAATTGAGAGAGTGGTCCAGTAGTAATATTATGTAGTTACAATAAGTTTAATAGTAAAAAGATKTTACTGGTAGTGATTGTACAGTATCATACTGCATTCTTAGTTAGGGGACTATCATTCAGGGACGGCAGAAAATGAGTCACAGTATGGTCATTGTGGGACAGAGGAAGTACCTAAAGCATTTTTCAATTGGATATTGTCATATATTACATCATCATTTAYCTCTTTCAAACTATTCCTACCAAAACCACTTTCCCTCTCCCCATGCTTTGTAAGCAATTATGGCTCACCTAAGCTGAAGGTGTTCTGTCAAATTGTCATGCATCCATACTAGATAGGAGTACTAAACAGTGTCTGATATTCTACAGTGCCATACAGAACAAAAAGACAGGAGCTATCACCCCCCAAAGCTTCTGACTCATCTCACCAGGAGTCTGATATGTTTTGACTACTATCAGTTCTTCCCTTTTCAAACTTACCAAGGACAAGGAGGACATCTGTAAACAGTTTGACCCAACAACCAAGACCCACTATGGTGAACCCYCCAAGCAACATACCCAAAAATCTTGACAAGCAAGTGATGYATAATCCATCTGCAGAAGAACTTGGTTGTGGCCTAATTGATTCTGCAATGAATGCTGTTGATTCAGAYCTCAATGGTGACACATGCACCTTTGATAGGGTCAATGCCACACTTGACATTGTGGATGTTGACACAATCTCARCCCTTTTTGAGGAAAGGTTTGTATCTTCCCCAGCAAAAGTGAAAATAAAACTAATTCAGATTATGAGAGACCACGACATTTGATTAGTTGCTGGAAGGGAGCTGTACAAATGATGGGCTATCAAAGCAGAGAGTYTGTATGGTTTCACTTGGAGCACCGGAAACAGTCTCATCATAGTAGCACAACAAAAGTTTTTGGAGGAAYGTTGCAAAGTTTAAGTCACCCTATGACATTGAATGACCAATTGGTAGTAGCCAGTCTGTCAGAGAATTTGATCTTCASAATGAAGGTCRGCATTACACAGTTGTTTGTTGTTTTCTGGAAGAACATCAAATAGCAAGCTGGCAAAAGGAATCTAATGGGAAACCTCACAGTTTTGTTATGAAGGGTRTGTTATGTGATGGTTTGTACATATTTCTGTCTTCAAGCATTAACTCAGAAGTTACTGTCTTTGAAATGTTGGAACACATGACAAATTTTGTGTTGCCAGGAGCAAGGGGGACTAGCTGACAAATTTCAATGAAATTATGTTGGAAATGAATAGTCAGAATGCAGAAGAAATTGTAACAGATCATCAGGAACAGAGCATGCAATTTGCACTAATGGCTATTCAGGAATACACTAAGCTGGAGAGCATTGTTTTTACAAGAAAAACTGACATTTATCCATGTGATGGGTTGGGTTGAACCCCCCCCCCCCCTCTTCTTTTTTTCAAACCATATTACATTAGTAGAGAAACTGAGAATGACATTCTCTGCTTTGATGGATGTCMAATTTTGCAGTTTTGCAGGAGAATGTTGTCTTGCAATGGTTGACTAACTTCCACAAATACTAGTGCAGATAATGAAGGTTGTGATTCCCTTTTCGTCCTTGAAAAAATCCTTTGGTGGAAGAGTTTGGGTGTCTCAGCAACTGCCCATTGTCAATGTTACAGTTTCATGACTTAATTTGTTTACGCTTATCACATTAGTTGAGAAACTGAGAATGGTGTTTGTGGTTTTACAGATCCGTGATTTTTGAAATTTTCTGGAAAACACATCATATATGAATTTGCTTTGCTTTGATTTCACCCAAAAGATATGGATCATTAGCAAGTATTCTTTTGATGTGTACATTACTTATAGATTAAGTATTGATAATATGCTTGCAATCTGTCTCACATTTAGATTAATAATCTGAGTGCTGGTCAATACTGAGCAGCTCTTGAATCCCTTTTCCRATGTTTTCATCTTTGTCTGTTTCCTCCTCTGGTTCCTTGTGTGGTTCCTRACACATATGCTCAATTCTACTGGAACCATCCAAAATCCTCCTCCTTATCCTCATCCTCCTGGAAAGATGCCTAGCTTTTTTCATAAAAGTTTCCTGCATCTGACCTTTGTGATTTCTCTTTGGGTTAAGATTCACGTTGCTCATTTCCCTTGTTAGYTTGTTCTTTGAGCAACAAGCAAACTCCAAAAAGCAGTCTTTTCCTGTCATCACTCTCCACAAACAAAAGTCCTTCAGATTTTTCCATCCATTTATGTCCCATGTGACACCCGYGTAGAAATCATCATTCAGCCACAAATCATTGTACCCCCACCTTGGGTTGGCAACACTGGGGTGGTACTAGCTAGGCCCACCCCAATGGGTACCTTGTTTAATTACCTTCCTAACCAGAGGAGAGAGAGTTCAAAAAGTTCCTTGTCTGACAAATTATTCCATCATGGATAGCTCATTTTACCTGTTTCAACAAAAAGCCACTAGTAGCACACTGAATGTCACA